CTCATTTCAGGAGCCACAGCCAAGTAATCTTTATTGCCTCCTTATGTCATATTTATCAGCAATCTTCTAACCAGTGACAGCCTGCAAACTCAGCATATCCTAAGCCTGCACCACCTCCCTGATGTGCAAAGAGATGCCTGGATGGAGAAGATTGATGTCCTGACTTGTAAGATCCAGGTGGTTGCTCAGTAACCTTATACTGTTTCATGTGACAGCTTGGACTGGGAGAGACTGTGTTCATTCACTGCCAAAAAATATCAAAGTTTTTCTTCTTCAGCAAATAGTAGAGAGAAGGCTTCACACAGCCCTGTGTGAACAGAAATATGCTGCGGTAGTGAAACTGAATAAATAACAACCATTTATAGAAGTTAAACGAGCTAATGGATTTTGTCTACTATTTACTGGCTCCACTCCACCTACCGATGTTAAATTTCTACACCAATCCAATCCTACATTTCTAATAAAGGGTTGCATAAATGTTGTAATTTGGTGACAAAAACTCGAGGAAAAGTAAAAATCCTTCCTTGCCATGGGGTCACCTGCACACTGTAAGGTTTAAATACTCTTCAAGGTCTAAGGCACTGGAAAAGCAGCTTTACTTACTGGATTCCCCACTCCCTGGCAGGCGGCACACCCCTATGCTCTGGCACTGCATTGTCCTTTGGCGCCCTCATGTTCAGTACAGGGCTATAGGTTTGCATTAATCATGATGAGGTCAGGAACATCTGACTGCCAGAGCATATGGTAGAAGAGGCTGCAGCGTGAAGGAGCCTGCAGGAGTGGAGAATCAGGTAAGTAAAATCACACTGCCCTGTCCCCTAGATTTAAACAGCCCCACAGCAAGGGGGGAGTATGTTAGTTTCCCAGAGTTCAGCTTTAACCTTTGCAAAAGTTGCGCAAGATGTTTAGAAAGTAACAATTAGCAAGATCTGGTAACTGTTACCACCCAACAAAAGTATTTTAGCGGATTCAGAACAGCTTCCTGCATCATTATAATGTGCCATTTTAATAATCACATTGATCTGTTTCAGGTCTAGCTGCACCAGTTTCTATTTCAGAGTGAAGATCTGTGTCTACTTATCAAAGGGATAGCAGTAATACAGAAAACTGCCGCAGATCCCCCCAGACCGGACCTGGTATACGGAATATGAACTAGCTGTCAGTAACCTGGCAGAAAGTTGACATACCTCTTTCTGCCCCATGCAGTAAACACACTACACATGGCTGACCCTGCAAATAGACAGGGGAAACTTCTTTCATCCTCTCTTGGGCTCCTCTCTGCTGAATGAGAGGGGAAGCTGATAGCTCCTAATAAAGCAAGCCATACATTAAAACATACAAACAATATATACCGCACTCAGGGACGCTGCTTCCACTAGGCAAACTAGGCAGCAGCATAGGGCGCACTGCCACCTAGAGGTGCCTGGGCGCAGCCAGGCTGGCACATCAAGAATAATCCTTCAGCTGAGGGGGGGTGAAGTAGAGGGTAGGAAGAAAGGACAGAGGAAGATTCTGGGATTCTGGGGCCAGTGTAGCAGTTGAGCTGCTGCTACTTCCAGTGCTCCTCTCAGACTCAGTCCCTTACTGCAAGCCGGCTGGCAGCTGCTGATCACTGTGGAGTTCCAGCTCTTCTCTTCCCATTCATCAGAGGAGGCGGAGCTGCGCCTGTGGAGGAAGATTAATGTCTGACTCTGATGTCTCGTGTCTTTGTGAGTGTGACCTGGCCGGAAATCCATCACATGTGCTAAGTGTCAGTGAGTGATGACATCATGATCCCACAGCCTGCTGTGCTTGATCTGTCACTGTGTGGAAATCGCTCAGTTCAGGTGTTCTCTGTGTGTGTGTGGGCTGGGCTGCCTGCTGTCAAAGCATTTTATTTCCCCCCATTGCCTGGGGAATTCCAGCCTGGAATCTGTCAGAGTATGGATCGATCATCCTCCACTCACTGCAACTGTCACCCTGCCACTGCCAGCCACAGATAGAGTCCGTCTGTGACACTGATATTGTCTTCAATATTGGTGCTGGTGGTATCTTATGGCACTTATTTTAGCAAATTAAAAGAAATTTACCAGTTTCACATTTTGTTGATTTAATATTTTCTACTGTTTTTAAATATATTTTTTTTAATTTATTTTTTCGAGGGGGTGTTGGGGTGGGGAGTAACTGGTCCTGCCTAGGGTGCAAAATAGTCTAGCACCAGCCCTGACCGTGCTCCTTAAATGCTGCCAATCACTATAGTGATACTAAACATCAACACAAATAAAGTGCAAACTATTGTCTCTATAAATTATGTGCAAAATGAACAACAATGTGAATGCTTCCATATAATTATGAACAAAAGACCATTTTTTTAAAGGCTTCTTATCCAGCTTCCATATTCCCAGTTTGCAAAAATAAAAACACTCAAGAAATAAGTGCTCTTCCTCTTGTCCCAAAAAGGATAACACACCACACTCACCAGAAATATACGACCTCTTCTCTCAAAGAACGTCATATATGCTTGAAATATTACAAATAGATCTTATCCTCCCGTTTTGGCTGACTTGTGAGAGACTGAATAAAAAAAATCTTCCTCATAGAGGACCTCCTCATAGTGCAGTAAAGGTTATTTATAGAAAAAAAAGTGCTATAGAACTATACTTACATCAGTTAAAATCAATCAGGCATATATATCACCAGAAAGGAACACCAGTTTGCATTTCACCAACCGGAAGAGAAGTATCACAAAGCTCGATCCAACGCGTTTCGGCAGCAACGTCTAACGCCATCAGGGAAGAGAGGAAGAGCACGTATTTCTTAGGTGTCTTTATTTTTGCACGCTGGGAATATGGAAGCTGGATATGAAGCCTTTTAAAAATGGACTTTTGTTCATAATTACATAGAAGCATTCACATTGTTATTCATTTTGCACCTGATTTAGAGAGACAATAATTTGAACTTAGTTTGTGTTGATTTTTAGTATCACTATAGTGATTCACAGCAATTCAGGAGCGTGGTATATATTGTTTGTATGTCTTCAGGCTTTTTAACCATTTGCCGCCTGGCCAATAGCCATATGGCGTCCAGAAAAATGCACTCGCTTTCCGGGAGGACGCCACATGGCGTCCTCCCGCACATGCGCAATTCGCAAGCTTGCAGAGCCGCGCAGCGGCGCGATCTGTCACCGGCTGTGTACCTCGGACACGGCCGATGACAGATCTGAGTACCGGCCCCCGTTGCCGGTACCATGTGACCTGCTGTGACTAATCACAGCAGGTCACATGACAGTTGTATACAATGGATGGCTTCATTCATGCCATCCATTGTATACTAGTGTCTAGCTGTGAATGGTCACAGCTAATCACATGCACATGTCATGTGATTAGCTGTGGCCAAATCACAGCTAAGCACAAAAAAAAAAAAAAAAAAAAAAAACCCTGAATGAATCGATGTCAGGTAAATGCTTGCTTATAGCAAAGTAATTCTTTGCTATAAACAAATTGTGTAAAAAAAGAAAAATAATGATCACTTCCCCAAAGTATGGTAACATTGTACTACTTTGGACATAGTGAAATATGAAAAAAAAAATCTTAAAAAAAAAAAAAGAAAAAAAATGTAATAAAAATTTAAAATAATAAAAAAAATTATAAAAAAAAATCTATATATATATATATATATATATATATATATATATATATATATATATATATATTTTTTTTTTTTTTTTCACATCGTCACCAGTCAGTGTCCTTGATCACCGCCATACCAGTTACATGATGACGTTGTAGTGCACTGGTGACAGTATGTAAAAAAAAAAATAGTGAAAATATTTTTTTTTATTTTTTTATTTTCCAAAAAATCATGACAAAAAAAATACAAATTCAAAAAACTCGCCATGCCTCTTATGAAGTACACCAGACTGTCTACTTTGCAAAAAAAGGTCATTTGGGGATATCTGTACTATTCTGACATTCTTGGACCTCAAGAAATTAGATTGGCCATCAGTACTTCAGGATTGATCAATAATCAGATCTATACCATAGTTTGTGAACTCTATAACTTTCCTACAAACTAAAAAATGCATCCTAATTTGTGTTATTTTCACCAAAGACATGTAGTAGAATACATATTGGCCTAAATTTATGAAGAACAATTATTTATTTGCAAACGTTTATAACAGAAACAAAGAAAAACGTGTTTTTTTTTTTTCAAAAGTTTCGGCTTTTTTTTTTAAGTTAGCAAAAAGTAAAAACCCCGGCGGTGATTAAATACCACCAAAAGAAAGCTCTGGTTATGTGAAGAAAATGATAAAATTTTAGTTTGGGTACAGTGTTGTATGACCGCGCAATTGTCATTCAAAGTGTGAGAGCGCTGAAACCTGAAAAATGGCCTGGGCAGGAAGGTGTAAAATGCCTGGTATTGAATTGGTTAAGCTTACTAACAAGCATCTCCATATTTATATTTATATTTACATTTATATTACGTTTAAAGGAAGCGAACTCTTAGATATTTATTCTTTTAGGCCATAAACTAATTTTCTTGATTCCTCCATTAACATATTTAGTGTTCACACATTTAGCTACAGCCGCCAGCTGTGATTGAATGAAAAACTTGACAGGCTGTTTGAAGTGAAGTTGATTGATAGATTGACTTCAGTACAACCATCCTTCCAATACATGGATCAAAATTCGGCCTGTTCAGCAAGAATTTCGATCCATCTATTGCCGTCATAAGCAAAGAGGGTTGTTAATCAGGATCAGGATCTACTCTGTTTTCGAAGTTCTGAAGCGTGACACACGCTTTTTGCTGGCACCACAATTTTCCTCTTTGTATCTAGCAAATGCACCACCTCTAACTTGGTTTATATGGTAATCCTTTCAGTAAATGTTACCACACTGAAGAATGTTTCTATATACAACTCATCATCATTACAGATGTATGCATTGGACAGCAGACCTATACAGGTAAAGCATGAGTAAAAATGCAAATAATCTTTTATTTACAAAGCAAATACTTCTTACCTGATCGATGCTCTGCTGAGGAACACTGTACGAGCTGCTGCCAGCTGGATTGCCATGTAGAATTAAACGCTCTGGATTATCTAGGAGTATCTATTGGGATAAAATTGATAACCTTATATATATATATATATATATATATATATATATATATATATATATATATATATATATTTTTTGCTTCAATCAGACTATAAACACCACATATCCTATAAAGTAAGATTTTCTAATCATATATTATAATGCCTATTAAAAATATTCACAATTTCACATTAACTTTGCTTCTATTTTTTTAAATTCTTTTTTAAAGGGGTTATAAAACCTAAACATTTTTTACCTTAATGTGATACTAAAGCTTAATGCATTAAGAGATCCAGCACTGTGCACGGCTTCATCTCTTCCTTTTCACACAGGACTCGAGCAGCAGCAGTAGGAGCCATTGGCTCCTGCTGCGGTCAGTCAAATGTAATGAGGTGGAAGTGGGTGGGGGAGAGGGGCGGGTGCGCCTGTTCCCATAGACACCGAGCGACACACAGCTCAGGAGCGAGCACTGTGTGCCTCCATAGCAAACGGCTTGCAATGGGGACACACTAATAAGAGGAGGAGTCAAGATCATCGGTAGGGGACCTGAGAAAAGGTCCATTGCACAGAACAGGTAAGTAGAAAACTGTTCATTTTTTTTACTGAGGACAGCCCAGCACCACAGAAGAGGTAGAGGAGGAGGAGGACCCTGTACCGCACATGACTAAACAGAAAACATCAGAAATGAAAGTAAGCATAGGAAAAAAAAAAAAGTAAAAAAAAAAAAAAAAAAAAAAACACGTGCCGGAAGAAGGGTGAAATCTAAAATGGGGCTTGACGTTGAATTAAATCTCAAGAACGTGTACACTCCATGGACCATCAACCCCGTGTTCATTAATGACCAGTGAACACAGTATATGAAGGTGACCATCACACACACAGCTCTATGTAACTCTGTATGGTAGGTAGGTAATGTTAGAGTACCCATTATACTTTGGCCAGTGCTATGTACACCTTGAGTACTGCCTGAAGATTTTCGAACCATCACTAACCTGAACAACAGTGAGTATTAAAGACAGTGTACAGTCTTTTACAGTAATTTTTATATACATGTCAAAGAAATCTAAGTAAAGTAAATATTATTACTAGTATGTAAAAATGCACCCAAAAACCTTGTTTCTATGTATGGTCTGTATTTCCATGTGTACTTGAAGAAATCCAGATTTGCTGTTTACTTCCCTCACACCTTCAATCTGTACTAGTAATGTTCCTTAGCACGATACCCCGTGGTAATGAAATGTTTATCTATGATATAGTCATTAAGATATTTTCAGCAGTTCAACATGTGTCTTATCAGTTTTTTTTTTTAATTTATAAGCTTTTAAAAGTGTTACTAAACCTAAAACAGTAAAATCAGTATATATATGCAGTAAAGCATGCTTGTTATACTCACTGTGGAACCTAAGGGGTTAATCCTCAGCATTGTGTAAAAAAGGCTGTTTGGTCCTGTTCTCTCTGGCCCTCCTCTTGTTTAAATGTCCATCTGATAAGACACACTGAATGTGTAGTCACATGCACATGCTCAGTTTAGTGTGCATTGCTAGAGAGGTTTTTTTTTTTTCCACGTGATCAGCACAGGGCCAATCAGCACTGTACAGACAGAGGGTCAAGGGTTTTGCATCCTCCTAGAGCAGAAAGAAAACTCCTCCTACCAGTTTTAACCAGTGCTCTGCTGAAGTCGCAAGACTGCTCTAACAGCTGATGAGAAAAGTTTTTAGCAGTTTATATTTACTAAAATAATTGCATTTCCATGTTCTGTGTACTGTGGGACACCAGATATAGTGAATGCAGGGTCCTGGGTTTAGTAACACTTTAAGTGCAAATTGCATTTTTTTTTTTATTAAGGTAGTCACTTAGTGGTTAGAACTGTCTTACAGTACTGGGGTCCTCAGTTCGAGTCTTGGTCAGGGCACTATCTACATGGGGTTTGCTTGTTCTCCCTGTACAGCCCTGGCCAAATGTTTTGAGAATAACACAAATATTAATTTTCACAGTCTACTGCTTCAGTGTTTTTAGATATTTTTGTCAGATGTTACAATTGTATACTGAAGTATAATTACAAGCATTTCATAAGTGTCAAAGGCTTTTATTGACAATTATATTAGGTTTATGCAAAAAGTCAATATTTGCAGTGTTGAACCTTCTTTTTCAAGACCTCTGCAATTTGCCCTGGAATGCTATAAAACAACTTCTGGGCCACATCCTGAATGATGGCAGCCCATTCTTGCATAATCAATGCTTGGAGTTTGTCAGAATTTGTGGGGGTTTTTTTTATTCACCGCCTCTTGAGGATTGTCCGCAAGTTCTCAATGGGATAAGGTCTGAGGAGTTTCCTGGCCATGGACCCAAAAGTTCGATATTTTGCTCCCCAAACCACTTAGTTATCACTTTTGCCTTTTGGCATCATGCTGGAAAGGGCATTGTTCATCACCAAACTTTTTTTCTGGATGCCCAAAACAAAGTGGATTCATCAATGAAAATGACCTTACCCCAGTCCTCAGCAGTCCAATCCCTGTACCTTTTGCAGAATATCAGTGTGTCCCTTATGTTTTTCCTGGAGAGAAGTCACTTCTTTGCTGTCCTTGGCACCAGGCCATCCTCCAAAACTCTTCTCCTCACTGTGCGTGCAGATGCACTCACACCTGCCTGTTGCCATTCCTAAGCAAACTCTGCACTGGTGGTACCCCGATCCCACAGCTGTATCAACTTTAGGAAACGGTACTTGCGCTTGCTGGACTTTCTTGGGCGCCCTGAAGCCTTGTTAACAACATTTGAACCTCTCTCCTTGAAGTTCTTGACGATCCGATAAATATTTGATTTAGGTGCATTCTTAGTAGCAGCGATATCCTTCCCTGTGAATCCAGTTTTGTGCAAAGCAGTGATGACTGCATGTTTCCTTGCAGATAAATTAACATTTGTGTCATTCTCAAAACTTTTGGCCAGGGCTGTACTTGTGTGGATTTTCTCCAGATACTCAGATTTCCTCCCGCGCCATGCTGGTAAGGTAATTGGTTCCCTTCTGAAATTGTCCCTACTATGATATGAGTGGTGCACCCAAGACAGCCCATCAACAAATAAAAATGCCTCGAGTCCCCAGGGAGAAAAGTGCTATTTAAAGGAAACAAATACCAATGAAATCTTTAGAGGTCCTTAAGAAGCAACGTAAAAACAGTAGGCAAAATAGGTATAGCAGTGCTCGGCATCTACACATCAATCAAATCATCAGATGGGACTTGTAGTTTATTCATTCACAGTCGAGCAAAATTCAAAATTGACAGCTGCTGGTGGGGAGAAGTGGAAGTGTCCCTGCATGCTGCCACAGAGGGGGCTGGTTCGAAGGTGGGAGGGGTCCACTGGCAATTATGTTACAAACTAAATATGGATGCAACTTGTAACATTGACTAAAAGGTCCCATTGAAAATACTGGAAGGTGACTGTTACAGTAACAACAGAAAACATTACTTTCATTACTCAAATAGAGTAGTAGTTTCATATACTGAAATAGAGTTTCTCTTTCAGAGGAGGCAAGTCCACTTTGCACATTTAATTTGAGTCAACATTCCAATAGTATAACCAAATGAAACCTCCGCAGCTTATCTTCACATCACATACAAGTCAGCTGACTCTATGGAAACATATATGTACACATTCCACTTAGGATTGACGGATATCAAGTCCTATGATTTCTAGAACAGATTGCAATCCGCTGGCTGCAGAGGTTACAAGTCACTTCCAGCAAGCATCAAATTCTACCATAATTCCCTTCCTACCTTTGTCAGGAAACGTCAATGTTTACCTAAGATCATATCAAAGAACTAAATGATGGTTGGCATAAGCAATGCACTTCAGATTTCCTATACATTATGATTCTTTTTTTTTTACTAGATTTATAGAACCTGTGCATGAACAGTAAGTATTTCATATTGAGTTGGCTATACAAATCAGTAAATATAGCTCGTGAGGACCTAGAGAGAAGGGATTTTCCTCCCAGGTCTCTGACTATACACAAGGGGCTCTACAAATTGGAAAGGGACACAAGGAAGGGAAGTCAAAAAGTTATTGGAGGAGGAAAGGAGCAACACAGTTGTTGGCAATTCTGCCTTGCAGCACTGGTGTACTTGGTTTGAATCCTGGCCAGGACACTATTTGCATGGAGTTTGCAGGTTCCCCTGTGCTTGCATGGGTTTCCTCTGGGTACTCCCGTTTCTAACAAAACTCCAAGATCAGGCTGCCAGTTACTTGTAGTGTACAGTATGCATGCATGTATTTAGATTGTAAGTTCCATGAGGACAGGGACTGATGCAAATGTACAGTAAGTAATGCACTACTACCTGGTGTTCTATAAATGTCTGTATTAAATTAAAGAAGTACAGCCAAAGCTGTTTTGGCTGTACTTCTCCTGTCACAGGAGTGCAGTTCGTTCTGCACTCCTGTGACCCATTTTCAGCTGACAGTGGACTGAAGTCCGCTGTTGGCTGACATTATTCAGCCAGTCCAGGCTAGGGAAAGATCCCGACTTCAAAGTTGGGATCCACCCCTACAGTCTGGAGCGGCACCTGGATCTGCCTTTAAGCGAAGCGCTGAAAGCCTGAGCCAGCCGCTTTCTCCCCTTCACAGGGGGCTGAGCAGACAGCAGTGACTGAAAATCCCGCTCTCTTCTCAGAGCGGAGAGGAGAACTCAGCGATCAGTGGTCATGTGATCGCTGAGTTCTCACCCTTAGAGTCGGCGTGGGACCGATGCTGCATCCACCGAGGTAAGTATAAATAGGAAAAAAAAAGCCCTACATCTCTTTTAAGTTATGCCTTTAATTGTTAGACCTGTACAAAAAAAGAACAGCTGGCAACAATCAGGTTGCTATGGGTAACACAGGCACTTTACTTTAAAGACAACTTCACTTTTCTTGAAGTTGTCCTTTCATTGTTAATTCCACCCCAACTACCTTAAACCTTACCTAACATTAAAGCTTACCTTAAACCCCACTGCCACGGTCTTATCTTCCCAGCACCATGCA